TCAAATTGTATTAGATTACTCTTATTTTCCTCTTCTAGTCAAGTTCTAATCATCCAGTCATTGAAGCCAGGTCAAGTTGTATTTCCTGCAGGTGTGGGTATTCTTGTGCATATGCCCTTTCTTCTTATCACCTGGGTGCTTCATTCTCCACTCTAGTCCTCTGTGGCTATGTCACTGTCTCTGAGCCCAGGAGTCCCCAGGTCTTGCCATACTGCTGGCCACCCAGGTCTCCTGGGTTCACAGGTGTCTACTGAAATGGTTGGACTTAGCTCACAGCTTCATTGCTGTTTTTCCCTCACTTCCCCTTATTGGTGACCAACGTGGTCATCAGTCAGACTGCTTGCCTGTTCCTGTATTCCCTTTGAGTCTTAGTCTTAGAAGGGAGTTTGCCCTGAGGGGACCCGACCACTTGTCTTGATGTCTCCTGGGTGAGCAACTTGCTTGTTCTTGTAGTAGTCAGTGGTTAGTTGGACTGCCTTTGTTTTATTTCCTGTGTTTTTGTTGAAGAAGTATCTTCTGTTCTTCTAGCTGCTCCAGGCTGAAAATTTCCCACCTCAGAATATTCTGGATGGAGTTCAGGATTCCACCTATGGTCTTAAGTAATGTAGAGGCTCCACAGGAAGCCTCCTTTACCGGGCAAGTTGTAACCCCATTTTAGGTGTTCCAATCAGTGATAGGCAGAAGACAGACTTAAAGCTACAATGGTATGCAAGGGAAACCAAGATTCAAAAGCATCTTAACATTATTTAACCCCCTTTTACCCATTCAAACCCTGCCTCCATCCCTGTATCCCAGAGCACTGTTGTTCCAAGGTTGTACATACATCATTATTAACTTCTGTCCCACTTAGCCCATGCAAACCTGCCTAATTGTTTTCCTATCTGCCTTGTTCTTCCATTCCCCTCTCCCTTCTTGTGTATTGCCCGCCTCCCCAGCACCCAAACTGTCCTGTGTCTATTCCCTACCCTGTGCTGTATCTTCCCCACCCACCCCCACATCCCTGGAACTAGCAACAAATCCCCCCCACCCCTTTTAGTATGGGTTCTTTTTATTAGTCTTTTACAATGGTTCTATGGAGTATTTCTCCTTTTGTGACTAATTTCACTCAACATAATGTCCCTAAGGTTCATCCATGTTATGTGGGGGCTTACAGCTTCCTTATTCTTCAAAGTAGCATAATATTCCATTGTGTGTATGTACCAGTTTGTTTATCCATTTTTCAATTGATGGATACTTAGGCTGTCTCCATCTTTTTGCTATTGTAAATAGTGCTGCTGTGAACATTGGTGTGCATATGTCTACTTGTTTATGGCTGTACCTGTTTTTAAAGGTTGAAGTAGAAAGTTTAACCTTTTCTATTAGCTTCAATTAAAAAGAAAAAGTTGATTCTGACTCATGGCCACCCCATGTGTTGTAAAATACAACTAACTGTGTCCCATAGTTTTTCAAGACTTGACTTTGGAAGTAGCTTTCCAGGCCTTTCTGCCATGGTACTTCTGGGTGGGTTCAAACTGCCATTTCTGTATTCCAGCTCAACCCAAAGAATAAGGTAGAAATGTCCCTTAGGGTTTCCACAGCTGTAAATCTTTATTGAAGCATGCTGTCACAACAAAAGTGGCTGGAGGGTTTGAATTACAACCATTTAGTTAGCAGCCAAGTGCTTAACCACTTTCCCACCAGGCTTCCTTCAGATTCTCCAGTTGTTAGTGCCGCTGAGTTGGTTCTGAGTCATAATGACCATGTGTAATGTTTCTGAGACTGTAAATCTTTGTCATTTTACTGCTTGTACCACACTAATGCCTTCTCTGTGCCTTTATGTGTACTGTTGCCTCGGCTAAGAATCTCCTCATCTCTTGCCTCCTGACTTTCAGATATCATCTCCAGAATTCCTTTCCCAGTGTTAAAGTTTTTCCATTCTACTCCATGTATATGTATGTATGTAGGTGTATACATATCTATATATATAGTATAGTCTGACCTTCCTGTCCCTCTCAATTTGTAGCATGAGCCAATTGTTACTCATTTCTATTAATGTATGAAATGCAGAAGATAATACTATTTCCAACAAAACCTTTTCTCTATGGATAAATTTTTTTCCAGGATCTTAAAGACACAATATGTCGTTTTGTTCTAAGAGCCCTTAAAGACTGAAGAAGAAGACGACAATGATTTTGCTCTTTGTTCCGCCATCTCACAGAGATGAACATAGTTAAATGATGCAGGACATCAGCTTGCCCTTACAATCTATGGTTTCTCTACCACAAAAACCTAGTAGGGTAAACTGTAGGTTATGGTGCCAGCCTAGGATTAAAAATTACCATAGATAAACTACACAAGTCATTTGTATAAACTGTAAGATAATACAGTGTCTGAAAAAATGCCCTTAAAAAAAATTCAGGCTGAACGATGAGACTTAAAAGGAACGTATATAGAGCATGTTTTTACAAAATATGTTTATTCTACTCTGCTCCACACATGGCAACTCTTTACTTGAGGCTAAGAGAAGAGGTAATTCACTGACAGCCGGATTTCACTGACTGAACCACACATTTAAACTTTCTTTTAAACCTTAAGCATAATTTATAGATGGCATCAGACAAGAGTCTCTTAAACCCCTCTGAAAACTAGGTTTCTGCCTATTAGAAAAGTCTCTTGCTAGAACAGGCTTTCTTACATACAAACTTTGGTTCTGGAACTGATTTACCATATTGCTCGCTGGACCCCAGAAAGTCGCCCATGGTCAGCTAAGTGGCGAAAGACAATACGACTAAGCCTCCAGCGCCGCTTTACACCACGAGGTCGGGACGTCATGACACAGCGATTTCTGATTCTAACAGGACAGCTATCCCGTGGAAGGGCAGCAATTTCTTCATCAGCAATTTCCTAAGGGAAATCACAGCATTACGCAAATCATACACATTTATTCCAGAAGAAGTGAAAGAGGAATAGGTAGTCAGGGTTTGGAACACAGTGATCAACTTCAACCTTTGAGTGGAAATAAACCCAAAAGCTGACAGAAATGTTTGCCATTCTCAGCACAACTTTAAGTATTTAACAAATTGAAGATAGACACATAACCCACAAACCATAAGTATAGTAAGTTTTGACAACACATCTGTATGTAGCAAGGTTTAGAAATGAATCTCAACTCCTCATACTCATGGCCCCTTTCAGCTACAAACCCCTGGGTAATAGCAAACCTGACTGCTAACCAGAGATGATTTTTTTACTGTTAAGTGTTTTATACAAATTAACCATACAGTATGCCTTTTCATTTGTTTAGCTTCTTTCAGTAATACACTTGGGAGATTAATCCATATTGTTGCCTATTATAATTTGTTAATTCTCAATTGGTGCTAATTTTGTGTACCATAATTCATTTATGGTACCATTCTGTGTACCATTTTGTACCATAATTCATTTACCCATTCTATTGCTGAGGGTTATATAGGTAGTTTCTACTTTATAAACTATTATAAGCTACATTTGTTAAGCACCATTGAGTTGGTTCCACAGAGCAGCTAGGGCTATATAAATTTTGATAGATTGAAATTTATCTTCCAAAATGAAGAGTAAGTTGGAAGTCCTAACTCCTGGAACTTGTGAACATAATGAATTATCTTGTTTGGAAATAGGGTCTTTGAAGATGTCGCTGAAGTTCACCTGAGGGTATACCTGAGTAAGGTATACCTTATTTAGAAGTGTACTTATAAAAGAGGAGCAGAAACACAGACAGACATATGAAGAACACCATGTGCCCCCAACAGCTTGCAAGCCTAAGAATGTCTGGAGCTGGTAAGTTGGGAGAAAAGTATGAAACAGATTCTTCCTCAAAGCCATAAGAGGAACCAGGCCAACACTCTGATGTTGGATTCCCAGCCTCCAGAACTATAGCACAGCTATCTAGTTTGTAATAGTTTATAACAGCAAACTTAGGAAATGAATAGTACAGTTACTTAGAGAATACATAAATGCATTTCTACTGAGTCCCAACATGATTGATAAAAGTCTGTAACTGCTGGGCTAGAGATCAAGGAGAAGAGCTGGAGGCTTGAGATTGGAGAGAGAAGCAAGGGTAGGGTCACAGAGCTCTGAAACCTAGGGTTCTGAATTACATTTTTAAAAGATCAATACAGAAAATGAATCAGGAAGGGCCAAGCAACAGCTGACAGGAGAAAAATGGAGGTTAATATAGCAGCTTTAGTAAGAAATGCCAATGGCTTGGGTTAGCATTTTGTCAAGGGATTTTTTTTTCTTATGCATATGGCTTACAAGATGAGGCTTTCTGCTCCCACAAAATTTACAGCCTTGGAAACCCTATCTAGGGTGGCTGAGTCAGAACCAACTCTACAGCACTTGAATTATGGCTTCCAAGTATGTGTGTTAAAGGTACTTTAATTTGACAAGTGTCTTAGAAGTATGACTGACACTGAAGCAAAATAATTAACACATTCAAAATATAGAAATTAAATAATATATATGTAAGCCACAAAATTTATATAAAATGCCAATGCTTTGAATAGTTTCTGATCTCCCCCAAACATGTATGTGTTGTCATGAAATATATGTGTTAGAAATGACAAATTATCACTAAGTCAATAATGTATCAGAAGGAAATGGAGAGGAGGGAAGATTAGGCTGGAAGACTAAAGTCTCATGAATGTCAAATTTGAAGAATGGCTGGCTACCGACCTACCTATTTACACTACTTGTTCCCCAAAGAGATTTAAGGCAGTTTACAAAACAGGAAATTGGGACAGAGGGAAAAAGAGTAGGAAAGACAAAACCCCCATGATACAAAAGTCCAAGTGAAAGTCTGTTGGAACTAGGACACAAATTTGACTGGTAAGTCTCCACTACTGTTCGAGATCTTCTTAAGTAATGTCCTCAGTTACATCTTTACCTGAGTTTCTCAGGGTCACTGCTTATTATTCCCTAAATGTACACAGCTAGTTTAATGCAATTCTAAAAGCTCTGGAGTCCTAATGAAGCACTGGGTTAATGCACTGAGCTGTAAAGTTGGTTTGATCTACAAGGTCAGTTCAAGCTCACCAGCCACTCCTCAGAAACCCTATACAGGGTCACTATGGGTCAGAACTGACTCAACGGCAATTAACAACAATGGTAAGTCTAACACAGTCGTCCAGAGTACTTGCTCGTCTGCTGTCTCCCAGACATGATCATCACCAGTTAGGTGCAGGACCTCATGCTCAGGAAGCCAAGCTGGAGCAGGGTTGGCATCCTCTTATTGAAGTTGAGGAGCCGTATGGAAAGTAAATGTGAATGGAAGACCACCTCAGCACACAGAGATGAGCAAGGGAGTTCAGGAAAGCACGACAGTAACGGTCGTAGGTAAGGAACAGTTTAGGCCATGTGCTTGGCACACGGTCCTATGTATCAGCAAAGTCTGACACTCCGAAGTTTGGAATGAAGTTGGGTGGGAAGAGATTTTAGGTCAAATAAGTGCCCACTTTCTACAGATCACCTAATGAAATCATTGAAAAGCTAATTAGTCTAAGTAAATAGTCTAATCTGAGCCTCACCAAAATCAGTTTCAGGAGATTGGTTTGTGTTGACTTGAAGTATGTTGTGTTAAGTATGTTTCCCCCAAAGTATAGTCATGCTAAGTCAAAACAATGTCAAGTGTCCTGACTTAATGATTCTGTGGTAGTTAGAGACACCATTAACTAACCTGAAGGTCCTTTGGCAAAATGGTATTCTTCCTGAGTGAATTGATCCGTAGCCTTTCATCTGCATATTCATAGGCCATTTGTCGTCTCTTCACATCACGTAACATTTTCCAGTCCACGTAGTAACCTCGAACTTGGCCTGAAGCTGATGCAGGTACCATCTAATGGGCAGAGACAAGGAACAGCTAGCTGAAGGCCTGTCAGACCCAGGCTGGGTTAATGCTCCCAATCTTGTAGTCCTCTTAGGTCACTATGACCTAGCATTTTTAAGTTGTTTTGGGTCACTTTAATATGAATTTAAAATAACATACTTCTTGAATCCATTAATAAGTAATGGGTGTACATTAAGGCAAAAGGGTAAAAATAATACAGTATGTGTTGGAACGTAAAACATTTTCAGAGATATTTTAAAATCATTTATTCTCTTTGACGTAGGTGAATAGTCACATGGTTTAAAATTTTTAAGTTACAAAAAGACACAGTGAAAAATCTCTCCCTCCCTCACCTGCCCAGTGACTACCACCTAGCTACAAAGGTGGTGGTGGTGGTTGTTTTATGCCGTGGAGTTGGTTCCGACTTGTAGTGACCCTGTAGAGGGTTTCCGAGGCTGTAAATCTTTACGGGAGCAGAAATCCTCATCTTTCTCCCATGGAACCACTGGTAGTTTTAAACTGCTGAGCTTGAGGTTAACAGCCTGACTCATAACCACTATGCTACAAGCTCCTTAGCCACAAAGGTAACCACTGCTAATCATTTCTTGTGTAACCTTCCAGAGGTTTTTTTATCTAAAAAATACATGTATATACTTCCATTTCTCATTTTTATCCCTCTCTCTTTCACTTAATAATTTCAGAGAGCTTCCTATATCTGTATGTAAAAAGCATTCTCATTTTTAACTTTTTATTGTGAATTGAATGTTATAGAACAATCAGTCCCACATTCAACTCCGTGTCTTATGATGATTACAATCCACTCCATGTACCATCAGTTAACAGTATTTACCATCTATTCACTTTGTTTTCCCATCCCTCTACCCTACCAGCCCTGTAACCATCATAGAATGTTTCATTTAGCAAGAAAATATTTTATCTTTTTACAGCAGTGGTCTCATAAAATATTTATCCTATTGTGATTGACTAATTTCACTTAGCATAATGTCCTCTAGGTTCATCCACATTGTGAGGTGTTTTGTAGATTCTTTATTCAACTTTTTGTAATACATGAAACTACAAAAATTACTTTTTGTAACACATGAAACTCATTGTATGCATAAAACTTTTAACGATTCTTCTGTTGATAGCATTTAGGCTGTATCCATCTTTGCTACTGTAAATATTACTGCAATGAGCATGGTGTGCATATGTCTAATTGTGTCACAGTTCTTTGTTCTTGAGAATGTATACCAAGTAGAGGTATTGCTTGGAAACCCTATCTATGTAGGGTGAACGGCACTTAACACCACAACATTTTTAGAGACACACCCCCCCATATCATTTTTCACAGTTGTTAAGTGCTGAGGAGCAACTGGTGAGCTTAAACCTCTGACCTTGCAGTTCAAACTGACCTTTCAGTCTAGCGCATTAACCCACAGTGCCACACCCAGACTCCATTTTCCAAAGTGGTTACACCATTTTACCAGCCCCACCAGCAGTGTAGGAGGGTCCCAGTCTCTCCACATGTTCGCCAGCATTTGTTGTTTTCTGTTTTTTTGGAATTCTGCTATTAACGTTGGAGTGAGATGATGTATCACTGTTTTGATTTGCACCTCTCTAATGGGTCGGACTGCAAAGCCGTTTGAACTGCAAGGTCGGCGGTTCAAGCTCATCAGCTGCTCCTTGGAAACCCTATACAGGGTCGCTATGGGTCAGAACTGACTCGAAGGCACTTAACAACAACAACAGTGGCTAATGAAGAGTCCTGGTGTGGCGCTGTGGGTTAATGTGCCAGACTGCAAAGCCATTTGAACTATGAAGTCGACGGTTCAAGCTCACCAGCTGCTCCTTGGAAACCCTATACAGGGTCACTAAGGGTCAGAACTGACTCGATGGCACTTAATAACAACAACAATGGCTAATGGTAATTAGCATTTCATATTTGTTGGCTGCCTGAATGTCTTCTTTGGTAAAATGCCTGTTCATGTCCTCTGGCCACTTTTTGAATGGATTATTTGTCTTGTTGAGGAGTTGAAGTGTTCTAGAAATTTTGGAGAGTAGTCCTTTGTCTGACATGCCATTGCCCAACATTTTCCCAGGCATTGGGTTCTCTTTTTACTCTTTTGGTGAAATCCTTTGAAGAGCATGAGTGTCTAATCTTTGATGTATTTTGTCTTTCTGTTTGTGTGTTTTCAGTTGTGTATGTATGCCATGTATCAGAGCTCCTAAGTTTGTCCCTGATTTTTTATTGATGATCTGTAGAGCTCTAGGTTTTACATTTACGTCTTTAATTGACATTGAGTTAATTTTTGTTTATGGTGTGAAATATGGGTCTTGTTTTATTTTTATGCAAATGGATTTATAATTCTGCCAGCACCATTTGTTGAAGAGACTATCTCTTCCCAAGCTTCCTCATTTTAAAAGGCTGCACAGTTTTCCACTGTTTGTTGTTGTTGTTAAGTGCTGTTGAGTCAGTTCTGACCCATAGCAACCCTGTATAGGGTTTCCACTGTATGGATGCATGTTAATTCGTCTTACTGCAACTTACTGGTTGAGAGATATGCCATATCTCATATGATTACAAACAAAGCTGCAATTAATAACCTCATGTACACATCATTTCAAGAGTCTTGATGTGGCACTGTAGGATAAAGCACTGGACCACAACATCAGTTTGAACCAAAGGTCATGGTTCAAACTCACCAGCCAATCCTTGGAAACCCCATACAGGGTTGCTAGGAGTTGGAACTGACTAAATAGCGCTTAACAACACATCATTTCATGTGTTCCTATATATCTGCAAGATAAGTTCTTGGAAGCTAATTGCTGGATCCAAGGGTACTTTGAAATGATCATT